ATAACTAACAAAATGGGAAAACTTACAAAGAACTCCTGGTAAAAATGTTATAATAGGAATGGAATTCTGGCTCGGAATTTCCACCGCTGCTGAAGTGTTTTGAGTAAAGGTTTCAAATTAGTATTCTGACATATGACATCATTTATGTGAGGCTGAGTGCTAGGAAAAAATATCATAATTATTGTACCCCCTTCCTTAAATTAATAGTGGTACCTTATTATCCCTAATGCACGCTCCATACAACTTGATATCAATTAGAACATATTTGAATGATCAGACGGACACTATCTTATATGAAGTTATATTTTAAAAGTATCCAAGTTCAAAGGACTGAGGTTTTAGGCAAAGTGAAAATTATGTTGATAGATCAATAGATATCAAGAACATTTCTTACGGAGAAACAGAAAAAGAAAAACTTTGAAGATTAAGGAAAAAAGTGAGCATGTATTTGCTAATATACAGTCAAATAAGATTAAAATCATTTTAGCAGTGCGCAATCACCAATAACATCACATATTACAGCTATTATGGCCTTTCCTTACATTTTTTACGGTATTTTATCCCCCCCCCCCCCAAAACACTTATGTTCTTCACCAAGTACTGTGAGTGTAAGCTACTTGTTTTTGCATCATTCCGCAGGCACATATAGCATTGTTAATATTGAGAGCATACCTTGAACCTGGTATGTCTGAGACACCAGAGCTATCATAACAATTCTAATTGTTTCTCAAGATGAAGACATGTGGGCCAAACAACATCAACTGCCTTTGTTTAATTGCAAAATATCCCAAAAGTCCATGACCCCTTATAACTGTTCTTATGTTATGTTTTGTTTTCTTATTGAAAGAGTACATATTTGTCAAAAAGGTCAAAGCACTGACTCTTAAAGTGAAACAAAAGAAATTAGTTAACTTTGGAAGTGAGAGAGAGGGTACACTCCTCCCAGCTGTAATGCCATTGTCACAGTTTGTTTTTGAATGGAAAAAGCTTAAGAAAAGTCACAGGATCCAGGTATTTGATTGGCCAGAAAACAGCACAAAAATGAATATTAAACAATATGAATATCTCAATACAAAACAAGATTTATAACCTTAAGTTCAGTAGGATGAGTTTAGATTAGGACAGTATATTTGGTAGCCAACTAGCTGGCATCAACTTAATCTACCAATGCAACCAGTGAAGACATTTAACATCAGCTTTATCCTGATTGAAACATGGATAAATCTACTTAAATATTTTAGCCTTGTATTTTAGGGTTACATTTGGTTGGATAAGAGCTCTATGGGACTGTTATTTTTCAAAATGTTTGGCTTGTTATTAAATTATATTCATACTGAAGCTTTTAGCATCATTGTTATGTCAGAACTGAGTCATAAGATAAATGATCGTTCAAAATAAACAGTCAAATACAATAGCATATGTTTCACATTTATCTCTAATTTCAAGTCATGAAATTACTATGAAAAACATCTATTCTCAAAGGCAGAGTCCCGCCTTGAATATATAAAATCTAAAATAATGTTTTCGACTGGTTAGCTGTTCAAAGAGCCCAGTAATGTTTTATAACATTAATGAGTTATTATCATCTATTGGCACTGATGTAATCTATTACAATGATGGGATTTATTAGAAATTAACGGCCACTTGAAAGGCGTGAAGAGAATCATTTGGAGACGTGAAGTCATCATTATGTAACACGTGCATTTCCCAGAGTTAAACTTTTGCACTTTCCAGGGAATGTGCATATTACAAGTTATATTGCATATTTTCGCACGCCTTTCCTTGTTCCTGGAGTATACATTTGTTTTGAATTTTTTCATCGTATTTATTTCTTTGTTACTGAATGAACTTTCATGTTTAGGTAAAGCAATTTTTCCTTGATGATCATTAGGACATTTCCATAAAAATATATACAAACCTTTATACATAATTATAACACAAAAAAAACTGTTTATGGGACCTTAGGGGAAGTAACAAAATTTCAAAACACCCCAATTTTATGACAATGCATTTATCTTCAACACTAAAATTTACGGAACCAAGTACTGTGAGTGTAAGCTACTTGTTTTTGCATCATTCCGCAGGCACATATAGCATTGTTAATATTGAGAGCATACCTTGAACCTGGTATGTCTGAGACACCAGAGCTATCATAACAATTCTAATTGTTTCTCAAGATGAAGACATGTGGGCCAAACAACATCAACTGCCTTTGTGTAATTGCAAAATATCCCAAAAGTCCATGACCCCTTCTAACTGTTCTTATGTTATGTTTTGTTTTCCTATTGAAAGAGAGTACATATTTGTCAAAAAGGTCAAAGCACTGACTCTTAAAGTGAAACAAAAGAAATTAGTTAATTTTGGAAGTGAGAGAGAGGGTACACTCCTCCCAGCTGTAATGCCATTGTCACACAGTTTGTTTTTGAATGGAAAAAGCTTAAGATCCAGGTATTTGATTGGCCAGAAAACAGCACAAAATGAATATTAAACAATATGAATATCTCAATACAAAACAAGATTTATAACCTTAAGTTCAGTAGGATGAGTTTAGATTAGGACAGTATATTTGGTAGCCAACTAGCTTGCATCAACTTAATCTACCAATGCAACCAGACAAGTTGAATCAGTTGAAACCTGGTTGAAACCATGATGGACAATTATCTACTTAAATATTTTAGCCTTGTATTTTAGGGTTACATTTGGTTGGATAAGAGCTCTATGGGACTGTTATTTTTCAAAATGTTTGGCTTGTTATTAAATTATATTCATACTGAAGCTTTTAGCATCATTGTTATGTCAGAACAGTTACTGAGTCATAAAATAAATGATCGTTCAAAATAAACAGTCAAATACAATAGCATATGTTTCACATTTATCTCTAATTTCAAGTCATGAAATTACTATGAAAAACATCTATTCTCAAAGGCAGAGTCCCGCCTTGAATATATAAAATCTGAAATAATGTTTTCGACTGGTTAGCAGTGTTCAAAGAGCCCAGTAATGTTTTATAACATTAATGAGTTATTATCATCTATTGGCACTGATGTAATCTATTACAATGATGGGATTTATTAGAAATTAACGGCCACTTGAAAGGCGTGAAGAGAATCATTTGGAGACGTGAAGTCATCATTAGTTAACACGTGCATTTCCCAGAGTTAAACTTTTGCACTTTCCAGGGAATGTGCATATTACAAGTTATATTGCATATTTTTGCACGCCTTTCCTTGTTCCTGGAGTATACATTTTTCCCCATCTTTTTATAGTATTTATTTCTTTGTTATTGAATGAACTTTCATGTTTAGGTAAAGCAATTTTTCCTTGATGATCATTAGGACATTTCCATAAAAATATATACAAGCCTTTATACATAATTATAACACAAAAAAACTGTTTATGGGACCTTAGGGGAAGTAACAAAATTTCAAAACACCCCAATTTTATGACAATGCATTTATCTTCAACACTAAAATTTACGGAGAAAAAAGAAAAAAATGATGGCATTAACATACCAGTCTTTCTGACTACTATTCCGATCGAATTTCAGCTGGGATTTTTTCTAATGAGCAATTATATTTTTTCACAGGCAATATTTCAGTTGAAATATTTGTAAAAGTCACAGTCAGCTGTCATGCGTGTTTCTTACACCCCACCTCTTGGCTGAGAATCTGTGTAACAAATTGCCTGTGACTTCACCCTCTGTTCACAGTTTCTATGCGAAAACGATATCAGCTGTTACCAGGATCACAAATACATCACCATGCATGCTCTTTTTTTGTTTCCGTGGCAATCAGAGAAACATCACCAAACTCATTACATACGTGTTCCCGAGTCCAATAATGACAAAAACACGCGCAGTTTTACTGTAATTTGAAAAACAAGTAACCGATGAAGACTAGATACTACATAGGTAATATACAAGATGAGATATGTTAATGGTTTTACATGGTTGAAATTGTTCAGAAAATTGCTCCTACTGCAAATAGGTTTTTATTGAACAACCAGAATACCACCATGAAAACAGACCCAGAAAACCAGGATTTTAGTTTCACAAACATGCATTTTTTCTGTCATAGAATTACTCTTATACTACCTATAAATAAATAAATAATTTTTAGTGTCCTCAATAAAAGTGCTATGAAAAACAGAAAAAATGGCGAATACATAAAATGTAGTTCCTTGCCTAAAGAAAATTCCATGCAAAACATATGCAACGAAGTAGGCCAGAAGCTCCGCCCATTTCTTAACAAAGCACACTTTCTGCCTGTCGGAGGTTGTAAGCTTTCCTTACAAAAGCTATTAAAGATGTCTAGTATTTGCTTATATTGTTAAAATCTCCTCCCATTTAATTATAAAACTTAACAGGAAACACATTTACCATTGCCTCGAGTCGAAAAAGCCATTTTGAAATTGTTAAACAAAGTTAAAAGCGTAAATTTATTTCCATCAGACTCTATTTTCTTAATAAATGTATAACGAAGGTGCTGGGAAAAATTATTTTACCCTAAATTGTTGTAATTGTTTTAAAAAAAAATGTGAAAATTATTTTGATTTATGTTTTATAATTATAGAAAATTGCATACAAAACATAGGAGATTCCAGCTGTCTTAGAGCAGCTTGATGGAATGCATATCAGCTTTTATTTTTGTTTGCTTAAAATCTTAAAATACATTTTTTGTCAAATTTAATATTTCCTTATCTTCAAATCATTTGCTTCTCATAACTGAATATTCAGACCCAATACTAAAGTAAATGATATATAGATTGTTTTTAGTGTAATACAATGTTGCCTATATACATTTTGTATATACAAAATACATGTCTTTAACTCAATGACCTTTTTGCAGTGCTGATTGGCTGGATCTACATAATTGTATCAAATTTGATTTTGGCAACTTTTAAAAAATTGTTCCAAAAATAACCTCTCTGGATTATAAAAACATTACTGTGTTATCAAATTTTACATTGAGTACACCACCAAACTATTGAGACCAAGGCCAAAATTAAAAATAGCTTTGTTTGCTGTCTCCCGACCGACCCTAAAAAAACGCTGCGCTTCGAAAAATTTTATTTGCTCTCGCCGACCATTTTTTTTTTTTCTTTTTTTTTGTGCCGCATATTTTTACCGATATCCGTTCAATAACGGCGTGTAGTATTCTGGTTCCCGCGTATTATTCGTCACGTGTATCGACTATCAAGTACCGCCGGGTAAAAGTCGATTGTGTACACTTCCGTTACAATTTTGCAAAACGAAAGTTAGAAGATCTTCAAGAAGACGAGTATTTTATCATCTCGTCAACATTTATTATTACGTTTATTCAACTTTGTTGAAAAATAACCTCCACGAGAATGAATTGGTCTGGGCATGGGCCGATCTGTCGAATGACGTCGAGGATTTTTATCCGAAAAAATCGGACGTTCTTACGGTATGCTTAAATACTGGTTTGGGTTAAAAACTTACTGAGTGCTCAATGTAATCGTCTTAAAATAAAGTTTTTGTAAATAAATAAAGTTTCTTGTATGTACTCATCCATTTATAAGTACCAGTATTTATTTAATAATCATTTTCTTCAACCAGCAAATGCACTTATCTTATTGTTTTCAGTACCACCTGTCTTAGTACTTGAACCATTTCAGCACTCTTTTATCACATTTTCTCATTATTGCAGGGCTTTAAGAATAGTCTTCTAGTGGCTCAAAATGCAAGGCACTGAATGCGGATAAACCAAGAGAATAAATTGACAGGGAAACATGATCTCTAAAACACAACCTTGAGAAATTTGATTAAAGCTGTGTTTCAGTCATTACAGTTGATGGTTAGTATTGGTATTGCACATTGTTGTGCTTATTTTCTTGAAATAGTGATGTCAAAATGCTTTTACATAATCAACTGAAAGTAGAAACCTGAAAGAATGAAAAAATCAACTGAAAGTAGAAACCTGATTTTATTCTTTCTTACATATTTCCCATGGTGTTTGTATAATTAAAAATGTTAAAATAATTGCATTTTTGGCAAAATCTGTATTGCATAAACTTGGTGTATTGTAAGCTTATATGAAGACCTTCTGTCTGTTTTCATAGGAGATGCTCTGCAAGGGAGAGTGTTTGTATGACTGCAGATGTCATGCCAATCTCAAGTGGAGTTCCCTTACTGTGCCTTCAACATTGGACGACCAGATATTTGTGCCCATTGTGATGAGCCAGAAGCACAGAGAAATCCAGAACTGTTAACAAAGTTTAGGATTGTACTTCCAGTTTATGAGCAATGCATCAATGTCCACAAGAAAGACATACCCCATAGATGTCCTATAAAAAATGAATACTGTGAACCTAAATTTTGTTGGTATACTGTGGCTTAACTGTTTACTTGTCTGAAGTTGCATAGTGTTTGAAGTTGCTTTTCTGGTTGTGTTACTAACTATTCATTATAGTGAAAATACAAGAGCGATCAGTAATCACATGTGTCGCCTCATGATGGCCAATTTCATGTTGGGACAAATTTTGTGACAGACGGACAGACAGACGGACAGTGCACAACTAGACTAACCACTTTGTACTGATCATTCCTGTAAAGTTTGGATAAAATTGCACCAGTAGTTTATGAGGAGTAGTCCGGACAAGCTTTTGTGTATCTGGCAACACACAGAAAAAGAAACCTTTTTATCAAAGGGCCATAACTCGGCCAAAAATCATTCAACCGGAAAACCCGTGCAATATGCGCAAGGACTTGAGCTACAGATCAATCCTGTAAAGTTTCATTGAAATTGCATTAGTGGTATAAGAGAAGTAGTCCGGACAAACTTTAAAATTAAAAATTATTAAAGGGCCATAACTCTGACAAAAATCATTGAACCGGAAAATCCTGACAATATGCACAACTACACTTGGTACTGATCATTCCTGTAAAGTTTGGATGAAATTGCACCAGTAGTTTATGAGGAGTAGTCCGGACAAGTTTTGTGACGGACGGACAGACAGACGGACAGACAGACAGACAGACAGACGGACAGACGGACAGACAGACGACGGAGAAGTGATCCCTATATGTCGCCACTACTCCGTAGAGGCGACACAAAAATGTAAGCAGACTTTAAACTGTTGATGTATAATGATGCCTTTTGTTGTTCAGTAGTTATTTTGCATAATATATTTGAGTATATTTGTGTGTTTTAGTCATCCTCTCACATGTTGGGTAAATGTTCGAAATTTTGCTTTTGTTACATGTATTTTTATTAAAAAGAACTATACTTCTTGTGTTGACTAATTGAAAGATATACAAACTGAAATAAAAAGTAAGATATATCAATTTTAAAATTTTTTATTCGCATTTTATTATACCGCTTTTTCCAACAAACAGAATCAAACCAAAAACATTTATGTATTTCCAAAAAAAAAAAAAAAAAAAATCCCTACCTACCTACCCAACTCTAAAAAGTAGGGTCGGGAGACAGCAAACAAAGACTTTTTTAAATGTGGCCCAACAAAGAATCAATACGTTTATCATGAAGGCCATTTCGTTGATATATAATAACTAGAAATGCTACATTAGCAATTTTGATTGAAAAACTGCATATCTTGAGGGAGAAAAAAAACCCATGTGGCTTTGATATATTTGTGCTCCCTTTAAGTCATGCTGGGTTGAGTTTCTCATTACTTCGTGTAAATGAACAGCCATAAAAAGGCACATTCAATATAGGAAAGAAATAGGTCTATAGAAGTGGCTCCATTAATCTCCAGAAATGAACTTCTTACCCATTACACCATAACATTGGATTGCTTTCACATTGATGGATAAAAACCAAAGTGATCCAAAGTACAGACTAAAATTGGTTTCCTGAAAAGAAGAGTCTCAGAAGGTCAAGCAGCATGGCTGAATGTAATGAAAGGCATTGATATCACTAAAGCATAGGGGCATGAAGCATAAAACATAATAATGGTCCCTGTTCAAAAGAATTTCCGGAAATTCCATCTTCTACAAAGGTAATGAAGTGGATTAGATACATGTACAAATTGCTTTTAGTGTTCCTTGCTACAGAACATAATGAAAATTGTTAGCTCAAAATCTTGTAAATATTTGGAGCTTGTGGTTTTTAAAATCAGATTAAGTGCTAATAAAAACCTTATGAAAAAAAAATCGTCTTTGGAAGAAAACAAGGTCAAAAGCTATAATTAGGAGATGATTTCATCTAAATTTGGCAATAATGTTGTTTGTTTTTTTTTCTTTTTTTCTTTTTTGTAAAAGTTACAATGGATGGATTTTTATATTGCAAACATGTGCTGTCTATAACAGTATGAATATGCCAAGATGACAATTGACATAACATCAGCAGCAGCAGCAGACAATGGCAGGGTAAAAAGCATTATCACAAATGTTTTTTACAACCAATTCATCTAACAGACAATTTAATATCAACAAATACAGGCACATGGTTTATCTGAATTTTTCCTGAACTATAAAATATGTCATCATTGTCTGACTAACATAAACCATAAATCATTGTTAGTGGGTATATAATCCATATGGAAAAATACCCTCTTCCCACATTGTCATTTTCCCTTAGGACAATAAATAGAAAATTTTGGGTATTAAAAACATCCATTTGGCTGCAATGTTTTTACATACGAGTAAGTTTATGTTGACAAATGGTACAGGAGTCCCTGACTTAGCATTATTTGACACTTGTGACAGTCGATCAAACTTTTAGAATGTTTGATCAAGACATGCCAAGAAAATATAGCATTACCATTTTCTGAACATCCCAACAGTCTTTAACATCAGAATAGAAGAATGACTGTAAAACATAGACAAATATTGATATCAAATTAACCATATGGTAAGCACCTTTAAACACCATACATTTAGCTATGTAGACAAAATTAAGAATGCAACAAGAGAACAAAAGACCAGCTGCTGTTATCATGTAAGAGAAACATCAACTGTTTAATGAAAGCTTTAATTATAATGAAAAGATAACAAAACAAGATTGCATTATAGCATAACTGTTTGAATATATTGCTTTTTGTGTCTTTTCATCTAAATACTGCATGCAGTCTCAGACAGTATTGATCTGTAATTAAACCTGGTTATATATTAACACATATAACAACATGCAAGCTTTTATTAAAACACCTAATGGCAGCTTGGTAATTATGTACCACCTCATATATAGAACAATACAGACTTTTCCTTTACATTTAATGTATATCAGTGAGAAGCCTGCATCCCATATGTTTCTTATAATAATATTGGCTAAAATCATCTTTTCCCATCTGCATAAGTGCCCATCAAATTTGTTTTCAAGTTTCATCTTATTTTTTGTGTGCACTTTTCACACTTTTGGATTAGGTGCAAACCTATTGCTTTCCATAAGAAACCAAATGTTCCAATCTGGCTGCATGCACCACTAATATTAACACAAATTGTGTAAACCAGAGCAAAACCAGTCCAAAAATCTAAATATTTAGCAATTTTGTTGGTAATATATAGGAAATATTTATACTTGAAAAAATGTTATATTTATACTTGAAAAAATGTTAGAGGCCTGTTTCAATATGCCTTGGGTACAGCAGATGGTGAAATAAATTAACTTTCTATTAACTCTAAGACTCAAAATGAACCAATTCTAAAAACAGACCTAAGATTTATTATGAAATGTTAGTAAATCAGAGAATATTTTAAGTCTGAGTCAACCTTTGACTGTCAAACTTATTGTGCAAACAGCAATGAAAAATGTTTTGTAGTTTTATACCTCTGTGCTAAGAAAAACCATGACCCAATAGTACTGGTAAAAATTCATAATGCCAATCATAATCATTATCATCAGATTTAACCCTTGCCAAGATAATTATCTCAAATGGACTTCATGATAAAACCATTCTTCATTTATAGTGAAATTTTCAAAAAATTTCATATGGCCAACATCTATGTTATGGGCAAATTTTTGCCAGTACTATACAGTTAGTTTTCTCATACACTAGCATTAGATCTTATTATTTTTTTCAGCCAAAATGTCTGGTTGAAATAAATATTAACACAATCATACTATACACTAAGGAAAATCCCACAATATCAATTTTGACTTAATGCACATTATAAACAAATTAAGAATCCAGAAAGATAAACTACAAATAATTCATATGAAATCATTTATTCCCCTCTCCTGACTAAGACAAATAAAATAAATAATTTTTCTTTTTTTATCTTTAGGGTTTGCAACAGGGTGAGCCACTCTAGTCCACTTTATTATAACATTAACTTGTTTGCTTTCACTCATTTTCCATGCTCCCAATGACTTTGAAACATGCATTATAATTACCCCTGTAGACATATCTAATTTGTCTTTATTAAAACTTACTGCTAGAACAAACAGTGCCCCCCTACAAAATGCATAACGCTGCTTTTTTTGTCACACATTCAAGATAGGGGCAATTTGGAATAACTTGAAAATAACAGGAAGCATGTGGCTTCACACAATGGAGCTTTTAAATTATTTTTTCAAGTACATGCAACATGTGAATAACTATTTTCTTTCTTTATGAATCAAACTGATCTGGTTTTTAGTTGGGACGTAGTCCCAACTAGTGCACTTACAAACCCGAAATTTCCAACCATACAGGGTAACGCCCACTGTTGTGACGTTTCATCGCCACTCTAAATGCTATATTGTATTCTAACATATCAAGCTAAGCTGAATTCATAGTGATCACCGACCATGACCGGACGCATAACCGCCGCGAGTGAAAAAATAGTGCTCTGAATTTCTGAAAACTTCGATTTATTGCGAACAGAAGTGGAGACAAGAAAATTTATTTTTTGAAAAAATAATGTGCAATTGAGCTTGAATTACGGTATTAGAAACGTAGCGGATATAATTTGAAAGGTCACATAATTCTATGAATGGGATAGTAAATTAAATGGGTCATAGTGCTTGACGCTTTGCAAATATTTAACTTACTCATCCGCCTTATCATCACATTTTTTTGTATTATCATCCAGAATTTTTTGAAAAAGACATTCATTTATCGGATAAATTTTGTAGTTTATAATTGCAAAGTTGGATATTGAAATAGAATTAGCCAGAGATGTTAGATAATCTATTCGTCTTCTGAATTAGCCGATAATTAGGTTATGAATGATCCGACAACTTCCGGTATATTTTTCGACCTACTTCCTGAGCATAATTATCAGCCTGTTAAGCTCATAAGGTATGTTATAAAGCAAAATATGTTATGAATTTGATGACTAATAATATTAAGTTTATTTATTGATGCCAATTTGTTTCCGAGGACTAATACTTTCGTAAATAATTTCGAAGTAATTTGGAGATCTCGAGTCTTTCGTACCCAAGACATTTCGATCATACTTAGACTGCAAAACCGACAGATTTTACAAATTGATATTACACAGATGTCTGCCTTTACAGGAAAACCGGCATATACGCCTACAATTTTTTGGTCTTGTCACGGCCGTTACGTCTCTACCAAATGGGGCACATTCTTGAATATTTCAGAATAATTTTATTTTGACCTTTATAAATTAGGAAGTGGCTAGCCGTACGGGCCCGTACGGCTAGCCAAAAGTTCTAGCCGTACGTGAGTCACGTACGACTAGCCTGGACACACTGTATTGGCTAGCCGTACGGCACTTTTCAAAAATATATGGAAGTCGAAAAT